CCTCTCCAGAGGACATGCTTCACGAGCAGCATGTCCCTCCAGCCTCTCTGCTGGGAAGCTCCACGTCTGCTTCCCACCCACAGGGAGATTTCTAAACCAGGCACCACCATTTAGTCATGTCTGACCCCCAAAACCACTATGAGTGCTGGGTATTAACTGGAGAGGTCCAGCGCAGGGCCACGCTCGCCTGTGCAACACCTGGCTCAGACCCAGTCCTGCCCAGCAGAACCTCAAACCGCACTGTGCTGCCTGCCACTCAGGACTCCTCCACTCACACCCAGGCAGCCACTCCCACTCCAGCCAGAGGTGCCCGCTAGGCTCAGTGCATCCTGGTCCCTATTCCCGCCACCCAACTCCCACCCGCTCTGCTCAGCTGCCAGGGTGATCTTCCTACAGAAAACATGGTGCCAAGCCCCTGACAAAACTCCTCGGCTGTTAAGTGAGATTACCAACACAAGCCCGCACCAAAATAAATTCTGTGGAGGTTAAAGATTTAAGTGGTAAAAAAAGTTATGTACTCAGAACAAAACACAGGTGACTGTTTACTTAACACTGGTGTGGGGAAAGGGCTGTGTATACATTACATCAGAAATAATGAAAGACAGACCTGGCTACTTCATAATTTTAAACATACTTACAAAAACAAAGATTCCACAAATAAAATTCAAAATGGAGAATGGCAGTAGGATGTGCAGCAGGGAGCCTACCTTTAAAGCACCCTTAAAACCAACAAGACGGGGTCCTGGGGCAGGAAGAAAATGTGCACCAGTGGTAACAGCAGGGCAGGAACCTTTACCAAATGCTCAGAAAGTCCTTTTCTTCTGAATCAAGTGAGCAGAGATTAGAAATTATAATGCCCAATTGCTGGTTAGGACCTGGGGAATCACACTCTAATGATAAAATAATTACAGCTTTCATGGAAAGCAAGTGGGGTAAGTTTACATTCACCTTAAGCTGGCAAGTTCATTTCCAGAAATTAATCATATGGAAATACTTATGATAAATACCAAACTTTATCCCATGGATGTCTTTATAATAAAAAATTCAGAAGCAACCTAAGCATCCAAAAAAAGCAGATGTGTCAAGAAAACTGTAATACATCCATATCATTGAATATTATAATTATGCAGCCACAAGAATAATATTATAGAGAAATATGATGACTTGGAAGAATGCTCAAAATGTACTTAAAGTTTATAAAACAGCAAAAATCTAATTTAAGAAAAATGGTGTATGTGTACATAGACATATACATACTTAGAAATATATATACATGAACCTGCTAGGACATATACCTACACATTATCAGTAATTGTCTCTGGGCTGGGATTCGTTTTTGTTTCTTCTTATTATTTCCTAAATTTTCCAAAATGACAAAGTATTGCTCTTGGAATCACAGAAAAACACTTGACCAAAGAAAAATAACTGAGTGCCATGGGGCCAAGAGCTTCTCAGGCCTGGAATTCTGTTTTACAAAGCCTTTCCAGGCCTCCCCAGAGAACATGCCCCCCCTCCACCCAGCAGCCCTGAGAGCCCAATGCCGGCCCATGGCCCACCTTCCTCTCCCGGTATCTCCATTCTCTCTCTCTGTCTCCTCTTTTGGGGTCTTCCTCTACGTTCTCATTCTCTTCAGTTCGTACTTTACTAACTACAAAAATAAAACATATTTTTAACATTCGCAAATGAGCACATGAAAAAGATCATCTAACCTCTTGCTGGTCTTTACTGTATGTACCACATTACTACACAGTATATATTAACACACATGAAAAGATATTCTTCAATTAAAACACATCCTCCAATCCCCAAGAATGGGAAGTTCTAGAATCTGACCCTAAAATGTAGTAGAGAGGGACATCAATGGCAACTGCCACTGAGGCAACCCAGAAAATGTCAGACTAACCCCTGGAAACTCAAGAGGTGCACCAGACAGAACAAAAGGTCACCGGAGCTCACAGAGCTGGCAGAGGCACTGGGAAGCAGGGCCCCATGTCTGAGAAGAGCCTGTCCAGCTGAGCAGACGTTTCTGCCAAGGGCCCAGCTTCAAAGAAGTAAACGTCGCCTCAGGGATGAACTTCAGAACCACACCAGGCGCCCCACGCCTTGCCTCTGGGGCCCACCACTGAGGGCACAGCAGGAGGGGGGGCCCAGGGCCCCACCTACAGTCTTCACTTTCTCCCTGCCAGGAGGGACCCAGAAGAGCCATACACGACCATTGCTGATACCCACAGTACCACCCAGTGGTGGAAACTCAGCCTGTACTTTCAAATATGCAGAAAAAGTCATTAGGCTTAAACTAAGAGAATCAATGTTTTTAAAGATGAGGACAAAATTTAACTTTCAGAGATCACTGAAACAAAGTTCATTCATTCAAAAAGCACTGACTGAGCACTGACCACTCTTCTAATAGCCAGGAGTACCATGGATCAAAAAATGGGATGAAGAGACAGAATAGGGTTGGGGTGATTCCCAGGTTTTCCCACCTGAGGAAGGGAAGGACGCAGGTGCTGTCTGCTGAGACAGGGAAGGCTGTGAGAAGTAGGTGTCTCGGAGCTCCCAGAAGTTCATCTTGAAGGGCATTAAGTTTGCAACATTATCAGAGAGCAAGTACAGGAGGACATACAAGCCCAGACAGGGATGAGGCCCAGCTGGGAATCAAAACTTGGAAATCAGGAACAGATAATGGTATTTAAAACCATGAGACTGGAGACTCCAGACATTAACCCAAACATATATGGTCAATTAATATACGATAAAGGAGCCATGGACATACAATGGGGAAATGACAGTCTGTTCAACAGATGGTGCTGGCAAAACTAGACAGCTACATGTAAGAGAACGAAACTGGATCACTGTCTAACCCCCTACACAAAAGTAAATTCGAAATGGATCAAATACCTGAATGTAAGTCATGAAACCATAAAACTCCTAGAAAAAAACATAGGCAAACATCTCTTGGACATAAACATTAGCGACTTCTTCATGAACATATCTCCCCGGGAAAGGGAAACAAAGGCAAAAATGAACAAGTGGGACTATATCAAGCTGAAAAGCTTCTGTATAGCAAAGGATACCATCAATAGAACAAAAAGGTACCCTACAGTATGGGAGAATATATTCATAAATGACAGATCCAATAAAGGGTTGACATCCAAAATATATAAAGAGCTCATGCACCTCAACAAACAAAGAGCAAATAACCCAATTAAAACATGGGCAGAGGAGCTGAACAGACAGTTCTCCAGAGAAGAAATTCAGATGGCCAACAGACACATGAAAAGATGCTCCACATCGCTAATCATAAGAGAAATGCACATTAAAACCACAATGAGATATCACCTCACACCAATAAGGATCACCACCATTCAAAAGACAAACAACAGCACATGTTGGTGAGGTTGTGGAGAAAGGGGAACCCTCCTACACTGCTGGTGGGAATGTAAATTAGTTCAACCATGTGGAGAGCAGTATGGAGGTTCCTCAAAAAGCTCAAAATAGTCATACCATTTGACCCAGGAATTCCACTTCTAGGAATTTGCCCTAAGAATGCAGTAGCCCAGTTTGAAAAAGACAGATTCACCCCTATGTTTATCACAGCACTATTTACAATAGCCAAGAAATGGAAGCAACCTAAGTGTCCCTCAGTAGATGAACGGACAAAGAAGATGTGGTACATAGACACAATGGAATATCATTCAGCCATAAGAGGAAAACAAATCCTACCGTTTGCAACAACATGGAGCTAGAGGGTATTATGCTCAGTGAAATAAGCCAGGCGGAGAAAGACAAGTATCAAATGATTTCACTCATATGTGGAGTATAAAAATAAAGAAAAACTGAAGGTACAACACAGCAGCAGAATCACAGAACCCAAGAATGGACTAACAGTTAACAAAGGGAAAGGGACTGGGGAGGATAGGTGGGAAGGGAGGGATAAGGGTGGGGAAAAAGAAAGGGGGCATTACGATTAGCGTGTATAATGTAGGGGGGGCACGGGGAGGGCTGTGCAACACAGAAGACAAGTAGTGATTCTACAGCATCTTACTACACTGATGGACAGTGAATGTAATGGGGTTTGTCGGGGGGACTTGGTGAACGGGGGAGCCTAGTAAACATAATGTTCTTCATGTAATTGTAGATTAATGATAACAAAAAAAAAGAATAAAATCAATTTACAACTGTATAATGAGTAAAAAAAAAAAAACATGAGACTGGACACATTCACCAAGGCAGAGAGCAGCTACCGAGGTGGTGCGGAACAGGGGCCCGTTTTACAGAAGGGGAGATGCAGAGGGGATGAGGGAGACACAAGAGCAGCCAGGAAGGAGGAAGGGATGTCGGGGTCTAAGTGCACGATCTTCCCTGGGGATGAGGGAGACACAAGAGCAGCCAGGAAGGAGGAAGGGATGTCGGGGTCTAAGTGCACGATCTTCCCAGTGCGTCCCTCTCGATAGTGCGTGGGAGAAACAAGATCGGGAGGCGACCGGAAAAGAATGTTCTGAGGACAAACAAGATTGGAAATAAATATGAAGAACATCAAAATAATGACCCTAAAAAGAGGCAATGGAGAGTAAGGTAGCTGCTGTTAGACTTAACGAGTGGCAGGTAACCTGTTAACCAGCAGTTAAAATACACCCCAACCAACAGAGCACGAGGCGACGCTCCCAGCCTCCCCGGGGGCTGTCTGCAGAGGCGTGCGATGCCCCAGCAGCAGAGGGAGTGGTGGGCGCCAGGGAACAGTCCCACCCACATCCAGGCCCTCCTGGCTCCCCATGATTCCAAGAGCTGCCACAATTCCTTCTCATATACTTCTTTTCTTTTGAAGTTGGCTAGTTCACATTTTTTATAAGAAGCATATACTATTTGTATAATAATAAAATAGTGAAGATATTTTGATTATGGGGGGGAAAAGATATGCACCTTTACCTTAGAGTTCCTAGGAATTGAGATAAATAATAATTACATAGTGCTGAAATAAAAATGGTACTTCTGATGAAGTCTTTTTATCAAAGAGCATTATTTTTATTTACACTGAGGGTTGACATTTGTATGTAATAAAACTGAAATGTTTCAATAGCAAAACTCTAGTAAATAAGGAGAAATGTTACTGCTTTCATTGAATGAAGCGAGTTTCTAAAATAGCAAAAAGAAAACAACAGTGAAACTCAAAGGGGCCACAGCTTCAAACTCAGAACTCGGACATTTATGAAAAGCACCAGAGAAAACAAAACAAACGAGTGAACAGTAGAAAAGAGGAAGTGCCCCCAAACTGTGAGCCCTTTACTTCACGGGAAAATGCAGAGGATCAGACACATCAGCTGCGCACCACCTGCCAGCACCTAGGCCCCCCAGGACACTCCCGTGACTCCCGAGGACACGCCCACATCCCACCCCAGGCCCTGCTGCACACGCACCTGACCGCACCCTGTGCTCCGCTCTCTCCAGGAGCTGCGGGCCCCGCAGGCTGTGGGGGGCAGCCGTCTGCCGGAGCTCCGCCCTCTGGGCCCGGGGCTCCTTGCTTCTGTCCCTGTCTTTTCCTCGGCTCCGGGGCTTTTCTGCGTGCTGCTCCCGGGACTTCTCTCTCAGCTTCTCTCTGTCCCACTCGCAGGTGTCCTTTCTCCTCTCCCGTTGCTTGTCCCTGTGCCGCTCGCCACGAGCCTGCTCCTTGGCACCATGGCCTTCCTGTCCAGCCGTCCTCTCCTGGGGCTTGTGCTCTCTGCACTCGGGGGAGTCCGCTCCTGACTCCTTGGACAGCTTCCATTCCCTGTGCTTCTCCTCTATGGGACCACCTGATGGTGTGTTCTGAGCAGGAGACAGGCCCTCACAGTCACACCCAGGGACAGACCCCCAGCCGTGTGCCAGCCCAGCAAGGCGGGCCTGGACCAAGCCTTTCAGAACCAACAGAAAGGGGGTCAGACGTAGCATTTCTACGGCTGGCCATGGCACCCACTTAGCAGACCCTCACACCTGTTGGCAAATCAAATCTAAAATTCCACACTGGTTAAAAAGAAAAGGAAGAGTACACTGGGCTGGGCTTTAAATCTGAGACATGAACTGTCTGGGTCCCACTCAAGGAGCAAAGACCCTCTTTATAAAACTCTCAGGAAGCCTCCAATCCAACCACAAGCCCCCTCCACACATGCGAACACACACGACTGCACAGACAAATGTACTCACACACATACACACAGAGACCACACATGCATGTACATGTACACCCAGAGGCCTCACACACATGCAAACATGTGTACACAGAGACCACACACAAATGTACACACCACACATATATACACACACATGGAAACCTCACAAATGCACATACCATGCATGTATACATACACAGAGACACTACACACATGCATGTACACCTACAGAGACCACATAAATACACACATTACACATATACACATAGATGCATGCACATATGCACACAGAGGCACACACTCTCTCTTACCCAAACACACACACATGGCCCAAATTCTGAACCACGACAGAAACCTGACCATGAAGGTGGGATGCAGGCTGGGCTGGGAAACCTGGTCCCACCACTTTCAGGGCTTTGTCACTGCCATGTGCCACATGCAGGTGCAGCTGTGCAGTGCGACGTGGGTACCACCACCCGAGAAGCCAGCCCGGCCCCAGAGACCCCAGCTCAGTTCTGTGAGCGCATTACCCAAAGGTGTCTTCTCAGGTCGTCTGCTTTCCAAGTGTCATCTTTGGTTTTTCTCTAAAAAGAAAAACAGGACTTCTGTTTTTACATTTGCTATTTTTAATTTATTTAAGCAACACAGAAAAAAGTTCATCAAATTAGAAATTTTATGGCTTTAAATAACTAACTTTGTATGCTCTGGTGAGCTGCTTTTTCTTTACGCCATTTAAGTCAACGGCAATTAGTCCTTGATATGCAAGAAGTTACTGTCTGTCTACTGGAATGAAAGGTAAGAGGAATACAGATTTTCAGAAATCATTCACCAGTCTAAAATCACCAACAAACAATTGTAAGGTGCTCCCTTGGCTGCTTCACAATATAAAGTCCCTGCTGCTTTAAGGCTTGGGCACAGACTGCACTCACCCCTCACCTTCCCCACAACACCCGGGACCCTCCCTGGGCCAGGCCTGAGCCGGACACCGCGGGATGCTGAGGGAGTCACTCAGCAAGCCGGCCAAGGGCTTCCCGCCAGAGAGCAAGACAAATTCATCCTGTTTCTTTTTCTCTTTGAGAGGCACTGCCTTAAGGGGTACAACTAAGGGAAAATTTGGTCTGTTTCAAATTTAAAGCAAATGTACAAATGAAAAATAAAAACTTATTCATGGAGAAGCCACCAAACATCTTCCTTGTGATGTGAAAATTAAGCACACAGGAAGAGCTCGTCAGCTCCTCAGCACATTAATTAGGAAAGAGTGAAAAATCAGTTATAAGAATCTAGCCAAAGTGTACAATATTCACAAAATTTACTGTGATCTACTATCACTAGAAAACATATTCTTTTTTGATAAACTGGTCTATATAACAAAATGAGTCCACAGTAAGGGAGAGTGTAAGATGATCAGCTGCAATTAGTGTAACTATAAGTTAGACCTTCTGAAATGTAAACTATTTTCTCTCTCAAGCTACGAGCTCTGCATAGAGGTTATGATGTTCTCCAATTAAACAGCCCAAAGTCCACACAGTTAGAACTCCAAACACATGGTCCAAAGACAGTGTGTGCTGCTGGAGGGGTTGACGACAGGGCAGAAACCCCTCTGTGCAGGTGGAACAGCCCCAGCTCAGGCTGGGTGTCTCAGGCAGCCCCCCTGGTCCCACTTATTTCCAGAAAGCAGTTTCCCCAAAGCACACAGACCCACAGAAGGAATACCACATCCCAGCCAAATAGCTCGACCACCTGGGCCAGCCTCCAAGCTCCTCAGCACATGGCACTGACTCCCACAAGGTCTTGGGGTGTCCTGGACTGGCAGCACAGTGCCCCTCCCACTGTCAGCGCCCAGCGCCAGCTCAGCTCAGCAAAGGAGAAAGCAGAATATCCACTAACTGGCTGGCTGCACGTTCAGGAGTGCTTAGAGGAAGTGAGCGGCCTTGCTTCCCACCCCGTGTGGTAAACGGTCATGGCTCCTTGAGCCTGGGCGCTAGCACCCTTCCCCACAGGGCTGGTCTGCCTCCCAAGCCTGGCTGGATGGGTCAGACACACCCATCACCAAGTCTAACTCTGCCACGGTTCCTGACCCCATACGTCCTGTGCAATCCCACAGCCGCACACCCAGCCCAGGATCTCACGCAGCGGCAGACACAGCACCTAGCTGTCTAGAGCAACCCTGGCCGGGCCCAGTCCAGGGGGTCTAGTTTGAAGCACCAGGGGTGGTGACCCTGCCTGACACCAGTAAGAATTCCCAGAACTGCAGGTCGGAATGAGCAGGGCCCTGGAGACACAGAAGGGAGGTGACAGTCTAACTGGCACATTCGCCAAATGACCCACAAGGGGTGAGGCTGGTTCACACAGTTCTAGGACGGTGATATAACTTACCTTTTACTACCTTGTTTTTTAATTAACCATCATACTAGAAATGTTTTTAATTATCAAATTCAATTGTTTAGGAACAAATTATGAAAGTGGCCTATTCAATTTCTTGGCTGCTTTTCCTTTTCCTTATCTGCTGTTTAAATGCTGGCTCCATGGCAGTGAAGTGGCCTGGGAAGAAAATAATCATCAAGGAAACTGAGATTACTGACTGAGCCCCTGTTATTCCCTACAACCCCCACATTCACACATTACCATCTGCTCGCGCCTGAGAGCTTGTAGGACGATCACACTGCAGATGACAAACGCCTGGTCTTAGAGTCCATGTATCTGCAGACGAGAGCCCTGCTGTGGGGGTGCTGCGCCAGCTCTGACAGCACTGAGTCAGAGGCCCATCCTGCCTGAGGACTGCATTTCCAAGGTCCCAGAGACACAGTCCTGGGTTGTACAGACACCCAGACATCTCGGAGGCACAGAGGAAGGATGCACAATTGTAAATGTGATGATAAAGGGGGGACAGGCCTGTCCAAGTGTTGGCCAAACTGTCATTCTTTTGAAAGCCAGTCAGTCTCTTCCTGCAGGAGACCCACGTGAGTGGGTCAGTAAGGACCAGCCCTCGGAGAGCCCAGTGTGGTCACAACAGCCAGCTGCTCCACAGGTAGGGGGCAGCAGCCCTAACTGACCCGAGCAGTTCACACCAGCAGGTGGTGAGCCACTTAACACAGCAGTTTGTATTTCACATCAGCATTTCAAAGGGAGGGTAGAGATTTTTTCTAAGGGTAACCTAAATACAAACTACATGTATCTACAAATGTAGTTATTTATCTACACACACCTAGATTTATGTAGACACATATCTACTTCTGTGTTTATACATTTCAAGCTATGATTAATAAATTTCATAATAATAAACACACATCAATTGTTTGGTACATAACTGAAACACTTAGAAACTTCTCAGATTTTCATTGAGCATAAAAATAAGTCATAAGCACTATACATAAGGTAAACTAGTTTTTAAGAACTGCCATTGACAACTGTCACTCCTCTTATCAAGTAGGTGTAAAGCCTATAAACACTCATTAAGTTTTCATTTTCTAACAACAGCTACAAAATATTGAACCTTGGTATGATCTTAGAACACTTAAAGAATAGAAGACTGGTTGTTAGTGACCAGTGATGTGAGCAAGTAAGTATATTAACACAAACCCAAAGAAAAACTTGGTATGACAGAAAGTTCCTAAGCAACACCAAAGTCCAGCACAGTTTGTTCCAATTACCCAGGAAGCCTTTATGCTTTCCTTGACTTTATGGAACAAAGTATACTAAATAATTATGTAAAACTATAAAATTATGCAATTAGGTTCTAATGACCAGTAGGCTAACTTACTAGAATGTTAATGACCAAGAGGGATTTATTCCAGGGATGCAAGGAGATTTATAAATCAATCAACATTACACACCACATTAACAAAAAGAGGGATAAAAACCACATTATCATCTCAATAGATGCTGAAAAAGCATTTGACAAAATGCATGATAAAAACTCTCAACAAAATGGGCATAGAGGATACGTAGCCCAACATAATAAAGACTATCTATGACAAGCCCACAGCTAACATCATACTAAATGGTGAAAAGCTGAGAGTTCTTCCTCTAAAATCAGGAACAAGACAGGGATGCCCACTCTCAGAACTTTTATTCAACATAGTTCTGGAGGTCCTAGCCATGGCAATCAGACAACACAAAGAGATAAAAGGCATCCAAATTGATAAGAAAGAAGTTAAACTGTTACTATTTGCAGATGACATGATATTATCCATAGAAAACCCCTGGACTCCACCAAAAACTATTAGAACTAATAACTGGGTTCAGCAAAGTTGCACAATACAAAATTAATACACAGAAATATGTTGCATTCCTATATACTAATAATGAACTAGCAGAAAGAGGAAGAAGTAAAACAATTCCACTTATAGTTGCATCAAAAAGAATAAAATACTTAGGAATAAACCTAACCAAGGAAGTGAAAGATCTATACTCTGAAAACTATAAGACACTAAGAAATTAACTATAAGAAGAAACTATATAAGAAACTATAAGAAATTAAAGAAGACAAAAATAAGTGGAAATCTATCCCATGGAAGAATTAACATTGTCAAAATGGCTATCCTTCCTAAAGCAATCTACAGATTCAATGAAATTCCTATCAAAATTCCAACAGGATTTTTCAATGAACTAGAACAAATAGTTCTAAAACTCATATGGAACCACAAAAGACTCCAAATAGCCAAAGCAATCCTGAGAAAGAAGAATAAAGCTGGGGAGATAGTGCTCCCTGACTTCAAGCTGTACTACAAAGATACAGTAATCAAAACAATATAATACTGGCACAAGAATAGACCCATAGATCAATGGAACAGAACAGAGAACCCAGATTTAAACCTACGCATATATGGTCAATTAATACATGAGGAGAAGCCATGGATATAAAACAGAGAAAAGACAGCCTCTTCAATAACTGGTGTTGGGAAAACTGCACAGCTACACGCAAGAGAATGAAACTGGATTATTGCCCAACTCCACACACAAAACTAAATTCAAAATGGATCATAGATCTGAATGTAAGACATGAAACTATAAAACTCTTAGAAGAAAACAGAGGCAAAAATCTCTTGAACACAAATATGAGCAATTTTTCCTGGACACATCTCCTCAAGCAAGGGAAGCAAAATAAAACCTGATTAAAAAAGGGCAGGAACCTGAACAGATATTTCTCCAAAGAAGAAATACAGATGACCAACAGGCACATGAAAAGATGCTCCACATAGCTAAGCATTAAGGAAATACAAATCAAAACCACAATGAGGTATCACCTCACCAGTCAGAATGGCCACTATCTAAAAAATAAGAAATAACAAATGCTGGTGAGGATGTGGAGAAAAGGGAACCCTCCTACACTGTTGGTTGGAATGCAAATTGGTGCAGCCACTTTGGAAAGCAGTATGGAGGTTTATCAAGAAACTAAAAATAGAAAGACCATATAATCAAGTAATTCCATTTACAGGAATTTACCCAAAGAAAAACAAAATCACTAATTTGAAAAGGTATATGCACCTCTATTTTTTGCCAAATTATTTACAATAGCCAAGATAAGGAAGCAACCTAAGTGTCCATTCATAGACAAATGGACAAAGAAGATACAGTACATGGAGGTCCTAGCCACAGCAATCAGACAACAAAGAGAAATAAAAGGCATCCAGATTGGCAAGGAAGAAGATAAACTGTCCCTGTTTGCAGATGACATGATATTGTACATAAAAAACCCTAAAGAATCCACTCCAAAACTACTAGATCTAATATCTGAATTCAGCAAAGTTGCAGGAAACAAAATTAATACACAGAAATCTGTGGCATTCCTATACACTAACAATGAACTAGCAGAGAGAGAAAACAGGAAAACAATTTCATTCACAATTGCATCAAAAAGAATAAAATACCTATGAATAAACCTAACCAAGGAAGTGAAAGACCTGTATTCTAAAAACTACAAGACACTTGTGGGAGAAATTAAAGAAGATACCAATAAATGGAAACACATCCTGTGCTCGTGGATAGGAAGAATTAATATTGTCAAAATGGGCATCCTGTCCAAAGCAATCATCTATAGATTCAATGCAATTCCTATCAAAATACCAACCGCATTTTTCAACCAACTAGAGAAAATCGTCCTAAAATTCATATGGAACCACAAAAGACCTCGAATAGCCAGAGCAATCCTGAGAAGGAAGAATAAAGCAGGGGGAATTATGCTCCCCAACTTCAAGCTCTACTACAAAGCCACAGTAATCAAGACAATTTGGTATCTGCACAAGAACAGACCCATAGACCAATGGAACAGACTAGAGAGCCCTGATAAAAACCCAACCATATGTGGTCAATTAATATATGATAAAGGAGTCATGGACATACAATGGGGAAATGACAGCCTCTTCAATAGCTGGTGTTGGCAAAACTGGACAGATACATGCAAGAGAATGAAACTGGATTATTGTTTAACCCCATACACAAAAGTAAACTTGAGATGGATTAAAGACTTGAATGTATGTCATGAAACCATAAAACTCTTAGAAGACAACATAGGCAAACATCTCCTGAATATAAGCATGAGCAACTTCTTCCTGAACCCACCTCATCGAGAAAGGGAAACAAATGAACTCATGGGACTACATCAAACTAAAAAGGTTTTGTATGGCAAAGGACATCATCAACAAAACAAAAAGGTATTCTCCCCTACAGTATGGGAGAATATATTTGTAAATGACATATCCGACAAGGGGTTAACATCCAAAATATATAAAGAATTTACACACCTCAACACCCAAAAAGCAAAACCCGATTAACAAATGGGCAGAGGATATGAAGAGACACTTCTCCAAAGAAGAAATTCAGATGGCTAACAGACATATGAAAAGATGTTCCACATCACTAATCATCAGGGAAATGCACATTAAAACCACAATGAGATATCACCTCACATCAGTAAGGATGGCCAGCATCAAAAAGACTAAGAACAACAAATGTTAGCAAGGATACGGAGAAAAGAGACCCCTCCTACACTGCTGGTGGGAATGTAAGCTAGTTCAACCACTGTGGAAAGCCATATGGAGGTTCCTTAAAAGACTAAAAATAGAAATACCATTTAACCCCAGAATCCCACTCCTTGGAATTTACCCAAAGAATACAACTTCTCAGATTCAAAAAGACATATGCACCCCTATGTTTATTGCAGCACTTTTTACAATAGCCAAGATATGGAAGCAACCTAAGTGTCCATCAGTAGATGAATGGATAAAGAAGATGTGCTACATATACATAATGGAATACCATTCAGCCATAAGAAAGAAACAAATCCTACCATTTGCAACATGGATGGACCTGGAGGACATTATGCTCAGTGAAATAAGCCAGGCGGAGAAAGACAAATGCCAAATGATTTACCTCATTTGTGGAGTATAACAATGAAGCAAAACTGAAGGAACAAAATGGCAGCAGACTCAGAGACTCCAAGAAGGGACTAGTGGTTACCAAAGAGGAGGGGTGTGGGAGGGCAGGTGGGGAGGGAGGGAGAAGGGGATTGAGGGGTATTATGTTTAGCACACATGGTGTGGGGGATCACAGGGATGACAATGTAGCACAGAGAAGGCACATAGTGGATCTGTGGCATCTTACTACACTGATGGACAGTGACTGCACTGGGGTATGGGTGGGGATTTGATAATATGGGTAAATGTAGTAACCACATTGTTTTTTCATGTGAAACCTTCATAAGAGTGTATATCAATAATACCTCAATAAAAAATTTTAAAAAAAGAAGATACTGTACATACACACAATGCAATATTATTCAGCCATAAAAAGAAAAGAAATCCTGCCATTTGCAACATGGATGGATCTAGAGGGTACCATGCTCAGTGAAATAAGTCAGGTAGAAAAAGACAAATACCATATGATTTTACCTATTTGTGGAATACAAACCAAACAGAACAAACATAACAGCAGTAGACTGACAGACTCTGAGAAGGGACTGGTTGTCACCATGGGGGAAGGGTTGGGATGGGTGGGTGGAGAGGGTGAGGGAGATAAAGACTCAATCATAATGTAGGTTGGTTACAGGGACGGTAGTACAGCATGGAGAACACAGCCAATGATTCTGTAACATCTTCCTATGTCAACAGATAGTAGCTGTACTAGTGGAGGTGAGGATTTAATATGGGTAACTGTCGAACCACTGTGTTGTATACTTGAAACTAACGTAAGACTGTATATCGACTAAAAAAAGGAAGGAAATACGGATTAGAAAAAGATGTCCTAGAAGTGAAGGTAGACCCATTTTCATTTTGAAAGTGATGATCAAATGTCAAAATAATGAACGAAAAAGGACCCACAACAGACACACTGCCATATATGTTCATAACACCAAGGGTAGACCCTAAATCTTCTGGAAATAAAGATAATGTCACTTACAAAGACCGCCAGGAAACAGAAGTAGAATGCTTTCCAAGTCCTGGTAAAATTGTTCTGATCAGAGGATTCTATGCTGAGCCAACTCTCACTCAAGTGTATCAGTATAATACTTTCTTAGAGTAGTTTCTTTCTACATACCGTTGTTGAAAAAAGGTATTTGAGGATTTTCTCCAGGGAGAAAAAAGGGGGTTTTTCAAGAAAGAAGAGGACACTGGATCCAGGGAACTGCAGATCTCACCCAGAAGTGCAAAGGAAAGAAATCCCAGATGACAGCTCCTAGGTCTGAATACAGCTCCTAGGTCCTGACCACAAGAGACAGCGAACTCTGAGATGAACTTTTTAAGCAAATTTCATTGAACAGATAACATGACTGAGTGATAAGCTAAAAGATATGTGATAGGGTTTTTAAAAAGTCTATGTTATTTTTTGCCAAAAGCAGACAAAGCACAGGAAAGTCAAAGGCCCCTTGAGAAGGTCAACTCGGCAGGGCCGCTCGTGGGCGCTGGAGGAGGGGCGGCTCCCGGTCCCGCGGCCGGTTCTGCGGCCGGTTCTGCGGCGACGCTGCCCCGACGACCGCAACCCCGGGGGACTTGCTGGTTTTGTTTTAGGAGTCCCGCCGCCAACCGCCCCAGCAAACACAGTTTCCAGAGTTGCGGGGGGTGAAAGGACCGAGTGCTTCTCGAAGCAGCACCGGGGCGCGGGTCCAGCAGTGTCGTGCGCCCGGCGCAAGGATGCTGCTCGGCACCGTAAACGGGAGTAATGTGAAAGCCCGAACGACAGCGAGGAGGGAAGGCACGAAGGAATGGACGCGGATGGCGTTCCTCGACTTTCGGCGGGACCGCGGCTGACGCTCGGCCTGGTGCACAGCTCCCTCCCGGGCCTGGCCGCGCCGGCCCGAACGCACAAACGGCGCCTAGAAAGCCGTCGCCGACACCCCGCAACCGTGCGCGGCGCGACCACCCGCACCCACCTTTAGCTGCTCCATAGCCCGTGGGCATCCGACTAGCGTCCCGACGCCTAGCAACCCGCAGGCGCGAACAGCGAAGCGCCGAACAACAGCGGGCCCGGCACACCCCGCGGCCGCCCCAGTGCGCCTGCGCACTCCAGACTCCTAGCAACTGGCAAGCGCAAGCAGCAGAGGGCCGAGAGACCGCGGGCCCGGCACACCCCGCGGGTACCCCCAGCGCGCCTGCGCCTCGCGACTCCTAGCAACCCGCAGGCATGAGCAGTAGAGCGCAGAGCAACCGCCCGCTCGGCCTTCGCGCAGCCCAAGGGATCTAGCGCGGAAGGAGGCGGACCACGCCCTGGGTCTCCCTCTGGTCCGCGTTAGGTTTGGGCTGCGGGCGCTGCCCGGGGTGCTGGAAAGCAGCTGGACTGACCCCGCCGGCCGGTCACCATTGTACAGAGCTGCAGTGAGCACACAGGCAGGGCAGCTGCACCGACCACTGCTTACGCCCCACGGGGTGCCCTCTTTCCTTCGAGGACCGCACACCTCCGCAGGGCACCACACCCTCCCACCCTCAGACCGCGACCCGGGAAGGCGGCGGGCTCTGGCCTGCGGCCGCGCCTCCAAACCCAGGACCGACTACCCGGCCCCGCGCGGTGCGGCAGGCCCCAGGAGCCCGGGTCCGAGGCCGTCCTCGCAGGTCGCCTCCCGCCCGTGTCGCCCGTTTTCGCCGGCGCCCCCTGGTTGGGCCGGGAGCGGCAGCGCTGAGCAGAAACGGCGCTGAAAGAATGCTTGTCGTTGTACGGAGACGAGGGCGCGCGTCTCAGGCTTATTTTGTGAACTGCCCCTCCAGGTCTGCAGTGAAGGCCAGTCCCGAGCAGGCCCTCCTGGAAGGAGCGCCATTCCCGTGCGCCTGTCCCGGCAGAGCCGCGGCGCGACGCCTCAGGACATCAGCCGGCCGGTAGTGACAGTGTGCTTTTGACGTTATGTTTTTCTGTACATACCTGACTTATTTTGCGAACAACTGCATTTTTTAGTTCACCGTTTTATGGATCCATCTAGTTTGTGCCAAAGACCATTTTGCTCAGCAGCTTGCCTTAGAGAAATTAATAGCAGATCTAATAAGCCTTTTATGTTTAATTGTACCTGGTTTTGGACATATCAGTGCTTTTTCATTTGCACCCGAGCACTCAGGAAGAACAGCGAGGGAGGTAGGAGGGGTAGTCTCAGCGACGGCTCGGATTTATGTAGGAACTGCCGTACTGGAGGAACCGAAGCATATCTCGCTCGCCTACACCCACACCACTGGGCTGGTGGCTGCTCTGATGCCAAGGTCCACCTCCTAACTGCTGTGTCACTTCTTGTCAGCTGAGCAAACGGCTGGTACTGGAAAGCTTCAGACTGTTAAATAAGAGGATAAGGTCACCAGCCACGGTATTGGGTAAAAAGGCACACACAGCAGCCTGGGTAGCCTTGGGCCTGGCCCTGAACCCTTCTCCCTTGCCTCTGGAAGTCCTGTCGAGAGCCCTACATCTTGACTGTCCATTGTTTCCACTCCATCCCACTTGCACTGGTCATCAACATGGGAATGTCATCACTTCCTGCATCTGTCTCCCCATGTGTACCCTATTCACAGGCTTTGCAAATGCTGTTTACTCTTTCTCACCATCCCCACCATATTTGCCACATAAATGGCTACAGAGGAAGCTAAAACAATTTTTCCTCAGACCTCTTTAAACAATCATTTTCTAAATAACTCATTTGCCAGTAACATTTTATCTTTATCTTATAATATTTCTTCTATCATTTTTATTCAGTAGATGACCTACTCAGTTCACAGAGTGCTAGAGAGAATGCTAGGTAAACTCCCTGGGCCTCTAGTCATTCATGATTGCTGGGAGAGGGAAATATGCAAACAGCTATTGACTAATGTGAGCATGCTGGGTGAGGAAGCCACAGACTTTTGCCAGGAAGGAAGGAATGAAGAGGAAGGACCTCCTTTCGGTGGGGTCTTGCAGCACAGATAATTTACCAGGCAGGGACGCTGGGAATTGAGACTTTGAGGGGAAAACAAATATGGGTACAAGTACAGCAGGAGGAGGGGCTGGAGAGCTCAGGAAAATGTAAGGGTTGTTTCTACGGCAGCATCGTCCACACAGGTAATTATAAACTATCTAGTAGCCACATTTTAAAATGTAAAAAGAACAGATGAAACTAAGTTTAATAATATACTTAGCCAAATACATACAAAGTTATCATTGTCATAACATTTTTTAAATACTGATTTATCTTACATCTTTTATACTGTCTTCAAAATCCAGTGTGTATTTACCTTTACAGCACACCTCAGTTCAGAGGAGCCACACTTCAGGTGCTCTGTGCCCAAAGCAATGAGTGGCTTCTGCATCAAGCAAGCATGGTATTGGTGGAGGGTGGTAAGAAATGAGGCTGAGAAGAGGACGTGGCTAACTTAGAAAGGGCTGTGAAGGGCAGGGCAGGAAGATTCCAGTGTAAGGCTGGGTGATGGTAGGTCACAAGCGGAAGAGAGTGCTGTGGTTTGCAGGCGCAGGAGGGGTGGGAGCCCAGAGAACAGGCAGGAGGCATGGTGAGGCTTGGCGCCATGGCAGCTGGCCTTGGAGCAAGCTGCTGGCCTTTCTCCACTTTACTCCTGCCCCTGGAGCCTGCTGCAGCCCCACCCACAGCCTCCCTGCCCACCTGTGTGTTCCACATGGGTGTTATAGTTTGCCCATAGCCTCTTTCCTAGAATTTAAAAATTTTAATGTCCTTTTCCTTCATTAGACTATAAGCTAGCTTACAATTTCAGGTTGTGATAAAAAAAAACAAAACCTTTTTTTTCACACTAATAAACCATCCTCTCCCAGCCTCTGTAGTTTTCCCAATCACATAATTTTGGTGTCACTCCGAGGTCCATGTGTGCAGGTATGGTACAAAACCTACATACGGTGTTAACTAACCTGGCAAGCAGTTGGAGGTGGAGCTCACATCCTGGTAGCTCCTCATTAGCTGTGTGAGCTTGGGCCGTTTTACCACATTGGGCTTCAGTTAGCTCTTCAGTAAAAATGGAATTAAAAGATTAATTGGAATTAACAAAAATGGAATTAAAGGGTTAATTAAGATATTGCACCCTGTAGAGCTATTGTGAGAATTAAATGAGTGATTATACAAAGTACGTAGCATGGTGCATGGAGCAAATGAGCCCTCACTGTCTCACTTTTAGTTACTGACAATTTTATTATTGTTGTGTTATAGGCTGTCACCTAAGTTATAAGTATTTAGGGAAGATGAAAATAGGTGGGATTAAATTACAGCAGAGACACTGTTGTTGTCCTGGATGAAAACAAGCCAACTGGCACATCAGGAGGGGCCATGTGGATGATGCTGATGGTGGCGCCTGGCCATCAGCCCACAGAAACCGGGAACAGGAGTCCTACAGCTGCAGGGGACTGGAGTCTGCCAACCCCCTGGATGAACTTGGAGAAGATCTCAGAGGAGGATCTCTGATTTCACCTTTGGAGACCTGAGCAGAGGACGCAGCAAGGCCCTGCAAATAACATCTTCATGATTGATAAAAACTGAAGTGGGGCCTGTGACTTGATATATGGCTTCAGTTGGGGGCTCTAACATTCTACCCAGTAGAACATCTCCAAGGACACCGGGCCCCTCTCATATGCACAGAGGGCTGAGCTGTCTATAAGGTATAGACAGGATTAACTGAAGGAGGGAATATCACACAACACTGCCCAGAGGTGGAGACATACAAACTGAGTTTTGAAAGACGAGGAGTCATCTTGCATAAAGACAAAAGGAGAAGGGTAGTCCAGACAGAGAAAAGCAGGTGGAAAGGCATGAAGACAGGTAACAGCACAATTTGGGAAGAATGAGCAGCAGGGTGACCCTGGAAGACCCTGGGTGCAAAGTAGGTGAGGCGCAGAGCTGTTTGCCATGTAGGGGAGCTGTGCGCTCATGCCAGAGGCAGAGGAAACATTTCAGAAGCATCGAAGAGCTTAAATCAAATCTTCATTTTAAACTGGCCATTTGATAGAACTACAAACTGTTAAAATTTTATTTTAATTTCAAACTTAGAGAAAACATGCAAGTATAAAGAACTCCACCTCCATCACCCAGACCCACACTTAGCCTCACAGCACATGAGCTCCACTTGTTACCTGTCATCCATCTGCACACATCATCATCCATCTTCTTCTGAGTCACTTGGCAAAGAGCCTCAGATACAATTACTCATCACCCTGAAACACTCCACTGTCTTTCCCCAAAACAAGGATGTTGCCAAGCAGTCACACATAGGGAGTCTCTCCCTACATACTAGGCAAAACCTCAGCCCATACGGGGGAGTGCTCTTGGCTTTGTTCAGGGAAGAATTCGTGAACAGGTAGGATCAGTAAAGAAGGAACTCATTAAAGTGAGAATAGTAGTGAATGGCAGAGCTGCACAGAGCCAGGGGAGAACAGAGGAGGAAAAGGAAGCTCACTGAACTCCTGCTCAGCGTAGGGCACATCCCTTGCCAACTCCTAGAGCCAGGGTCACCTAGTGTCCAGTGTCTACTTGAATTTGCATGGTGTGGGAACTAAGCCCCCACCACCCCAGGATTCGGGGGAGCTGCAGAGCACTGGATGGAGTGAGATTATGTTTCAAGAACTTCTCAAAGCAGAGAGAGTTTTGGGGTAGGCTGCTAAAGAGCATGATCATACATACAGCCACAGTCCCATCGGGGTCACCAGGTGATGGGAACTTGTAAGCCCAGATCCCAGATCTCAGTAGCCCTTCCTACTTATCTGAAGTAAAACAAGGACAGAAGATATGCTTCCATATTAAACTGAATGAAGTAGCAAAGTAACAAAGATGCTTACCACCAGGAAAGGGGTCTCTTATTAACCTCTCGACAGGCTTAGAAGAGTGCAAAGACAAAACACATTGCATTGAGCAGCAAGAAGGTTTTATTTAAAGCAAAATAACACACTTGAAGACATGGGAGTTCAGGCAGCCTCAGAGGAGAAGTGCACTTAAGATAAGAATTGGGTAAAGGGCCAGGGGAGCACAGGCTGACATGAGGTCTCCTGATGTCTATCTCTGCTTGTAGAGACACTATGTCACCATCCCTCGTCAGCCCTCTAGATGTTCTGTGAGATAAACAACACAAGAAATTTATTGGTCCTGTCCTCCAAGATGGTGGTGGCCCTCAGCAGTGGGGACATACCAGTCAGGACTGCTCACCCTGCCTTAGGATAGGGTCCGTTGTTGGCTAATCACCAAAACATGTCAGGAATCTTACCTCCTAATGCCTGGTTTTTAAAATGGAATCTTAGCCTTAAGATGAAGCCCCTCCTGTTCCTACTATACTAACAACTTATATCTCAGCATTTTTCATCATAGGCGGGAAAAATTAATCATGGTGCTTGTCCCATGGCCCTGCTCTACCTCAAGGAAGCCCCTCCACACCCTCTCAGTGAGGAAGTCGGCACTGACACAACTCTGTTATTCAATCCACAGACCTCCTGTGTTTCACCAATGTCCCCAAAATATTCATTCTCCTTCCTGACCCAGATCCCACATGAGAACATATACTGCATGGAGTTGTGTCTCTTCAGTCTACTGCGATCTGGAGTAATTACAATTCCTCAGCAAGTAAATAAGGCAACCCTACACTGCATCTCTCGCGCGAATCACTGGGCCACACATGCCCCAGAAACATGGCCATGCTCCTGTTTCCCTTAGTAATTATTGAGGATCTTGTGGAAAGGTTCTCTGGTATCAGTCCTCATCAAAATCCCCAAGTGCCATCTTAGCCTACCTCAATAAAACCTGCACTAAGGTGATTGCAAAGTGCTGATTTCCATTTCCATCACTCCAGTTATTTTTTTCCATGCGTTCAGCATTTGGTCATTCACCCACATCAGTATAGACTCATGGGCTCCTACTTTACTCACTGGGTTATGATCTGCCCAAATTGCCCTTAACTCTGCTCTCATGCTGTCCCAGATTTAACCCTCTAAATTGCTTCCCATGTCCTTTCACATCACGTGACTCTTTTGAGACTTTTCTTACTTTCTGGCAAAAAAATATCCAAGGCTCATCTTGTACTGTCACTGTACAAGAAGACAACTGTTCCTCCAGTATACCTGGATCCTTTAACTGGAGAGTGGTATTTAGAAACCAAGATCTGGGACCTACTTGTGCTTATTGTCACAGGAATACCATTGCCTCTGAACACTCTCAGCAGACAGAAGTAGAAATTATATAAAGTAACACATGCAAACTAATACAGACACACATCTGTAATTGTTTATCTGTACATATATGTCAAAGCACATGGGTTCATACCACTTCCAAGGACAATCCACACTGTTGGAGTCTTTCTAGGCTCCCAGTTTCTCAGCTTATAAGATCTTCTCCAGCAGTGAGAAAACTGGCTATCGTGACCAACCTATGTGTCTATTTGCTAGTGTAACCAGGCTGACTGATCTTCTTGCCCCCACCTCCTCCCTGCCTGAGATGGGAAGGTCTCTAAGAATGTTTTAAAATGGTAGGGGTACAGGTGTACCAGCCAAGAGGTTTTTGTGATGATCCAGGCAAGCAGGAAAGGGACACAGTTGTTTTGGTCCTTCTGCTTGCACAGCACACAGGCACCCAGGAGGCTCAGGGAATGAATGAGCAGTGATGTTACCAAAGAGCACCTCTGAAACACAGGACTGGTATCTTCCTGAATTTGGGCAAAAAGAGACCTGACTGGTGGGGTAATAGGAAGAGAGGTGGGGTGTGTTCATACCCCTACAATGAGACCTGAGCAGAGGTTTTGGGGAAGGAGCCAGGACAGAGAGAGCTGGAGGTGGATGGGATCCGAAACTAGGCATAAAGGACTGAACTAAACAGAAGACAATGCTTTCCCCTCAGCCTGAGGCTGAGGGCAGGGAGGGAAACTCCAGAGCTTTGTACCAGGACACTCACAGCATGCTCTTTCCTCTGAGAAAGCAGAGCCTTTCACTGAGAACCGTCTGCCAAGAAGGTAAGGAAAGAGGTTAACATGAAGAGGTCACAGGAGATTGAGGAGTATGGAGAGTAAAATACTAGCAAAATCCTATAAATTGGGCCTGTTACCAGACTCTGAGCAGAATGAGGGGTGTCCTGCCTTGCTGGTGTGACTAAATACAGGAAGTTCCAGAAATTCAGTGGGGTCACAAAGGTGGCTGTGCTGGGAGGCTGATCAGTGTACAACATGGACACTTCTCTTCAGTGTATTTTATATCCTAGACTGCCAGGACAAATACTTTATTGAGATGTGCAGAATTCTTTGTGTGGACTTGATTTCACACAAGTCTTCATCTAATGACTGTGATTCTACACCTCTTTAGAGGAAAGATGGCATGATAGACAGGCTCATTCTCCTTCCTGCTAAAAAGGTAATTACTTGTTTAGAGGTTATAACTTTAGTCTTGAGTGAAAGGTGGCATTAAAATATTAAGCTGTTGCATTGGAAAAGTGTTGAGACTCACCATTTCATATGTTTACAACTTTCATAATGTAGTCTGGTGAAGAGTAAGAAAATGAAAACCACTTCCTTCCCTTGCTCAAGTGTTAGTGCCCTTGCCCCAAACTGAGCGTTCCAGCCGCTAGAACAATGTTTTTGACATGAGACACATATCCCCATAGCCACATACAGATACACGTACATCGTTATACGCAGACTCACAGCTGAGAAGACAGACTGTTCACCCACTTGGTCCCTGCTGTGTCAGCCACTGCTAGCCTAAGGATATGGCGATAGACATGGTAAATATGGTCTTTCCCTCATGAAACTTAAGTCCCAGCTGAATGACCGGTGAGACCTTGGCAAAGTTAACCAATGTGTGCAAATGTTTTCCCTGCCCAAGAAGTTCCCCTTAGCAGCAAGTCCTTGACACCTTGCGTGTATCAGGACTGTGTTGGCAGCAGTCCCCTCCTATGTGCACAGCACAGTGATGGTCTGTGGGAATCACCATCTGTCCTGCATGGCTATTAAGTTGTTATCCCAGAATCCCTGCAAAGTGGCAGGGAAGAACACTTGAGTCTGAAGAGCACATGTGAATCAATAACCTAAACCATAAGTGTGCTGTACTTCCCTCCAGTAGTCCCTGCTCCCCCTGAAGGTGCTCAGTGAAAGCTGCCAGTAAGTAAAATTTGAGGAGTAAGTCGGGGGGACTAGACCTGTTGTTACAAATTTAATTAAAATGCCCTTGGAACTTACTGAATAAACTCAAAGACACTTAACTAGGAAACATCCTGATTAAGCTTACTGGAAAACAAAGCGGTCGGGCTGTGGTGCTTTTCAGAAATCAGGAGCCAGGCCTACTTGATACTGGTGATGGGGCGGGCAGGTGTGAACATGGCCAGTAGGGACCAGACACCTGTCCTGTTTCACACCATGGAGAAGCAAACAGAAAATGTTAAGCAGACAGATATGTGCAGGATGAAAAGAGGGTGGGGTCCACCAAGAACTCAGGGAGTTAATCAGATAAAGCCAGAGAGCCAAAGATAACTCAGAGCATTAATTAAATGAAGCCACAGGAACCAGGGAATGACTTGAGACACAGGAACTCCCCAGATAAGAAACCTCAGAGTACAAGCACTCCTCAGATGACAAAAATTCCCTAGATAAAATATGTCAGAGCACAGCCCATGTCTTCCATCTTCCAATCAGATCAAGCCCCAAAGCCAAAGAATGTCAATCACGGACTTCTCAGCCTTGCCAAAACCCCATAGAAGCAGCCTCACAGCAACCGCTGGCCTGTCTAACCCTACGCAGGTCCGCTCTGTCCTTCACAGAGTGTAACTCAATTTTGCTTTCTTGACTTTGCTTTCGTTCTGACTTCCCTGCATCTCCGAACCGACTTCCTCCCCAACAAGGACACTTGCTCAGGCAGGCTGGTGTGGGCACCAGGTAGCAACTTCTCCGCTTTCTGGCATTGCGCCTCAGAAACACTCCGTTTAATTTGTTAACATCTTTAAAGTATATTAAAGAGTAACTTCCCAGCACTTGGGGAGGGTAACACTTCCCGTTCCACAGGCAGGCCTCGAGGAGCGAAGCCCCGCTCCCTGGGGGTCTACCCCCCAAACCCGCCGCGGGGTTCTGTCCAGGATCCCGCCCGCCCCGGCTCCCCGCACGGCCCCCGGGTTTCCCCCACAAGCCCCCACGGGACCCCGTCCCACCCCGGATCGGAGACCCGCCGGGCGGTCACGGCCCGCAACCCGTCCCGCCTGGGAGTCCTGTAAAGGGTGCCAGCCCGGCGTTGTCCTGACTCCCCCGGCGGCTCCACCAGTCGCTCACCGCAGAGGCGTGTCGCAAGGTGGCCCGCAGGCCCAGGCGCTCCCTGCCCGGAGCCAGCTCGCTCCACAAATCCCGCCCGCCCGGCTCACGCCTCCGCGGCGACGTCACAAGGGGCCCCGCCCGGCCGCTCTCAGTGGCGCCGCGAGACGTCACACACCCGCTCAGCCCTCTCCTGCCTCGGGTGGCGGCACGCCCACCCCTCGATGACGTAAGGGCAATTCGATTCCGCCCGTCCAGTGTGCGCGCGGTGACGTCACACAAGGACCCGCCTACCCGCACGGCTAGGCTCCAGCCCCCTCCGCGGCGGCCCCCGCCCGGATTGCGCGCTGACGTAGCACGCTGCTCACGGGCGGAAGCGCTCGGGCGGGTGGAGCGGTGGCGCCGTCCCCTCACAGGGGCGCTGGGGCGCCAGCGGAGTCTCCTGGCGGGTCGGGACGCGAGCGCGGCGGGATGAGCGGCGTCCGGGACTCCGGACCTGAGGCGGGCGCCGCCCGGGCCGAGGCCCCCGGCGCAGCGCTGAGCGTGGACGTGGCGGGGCTGTTGGCGCAGCTGGCGCGCAGCTTTGCGCTGCTGCTGCCCGTGTACGCGCTCGGCTACCTGGGCCTGAGCTTCAGCTGGGTGCTGCTGGCACTCGGGCTGCTCGTGTGGTGCCGGCGCAGCCGCGGCCTGAAGGCCAGCCGCCTATGCCGCGCGCTGGCGCTGCTGGAGGACGAGGAGCGCACCGTGCGTCTGGGGGTGCGCGCCTGCGACCTGCCGGCCTGGGTGAGTGCGGCGCCGCGCGCCCGGGCGCACCCACAGCGGGGCCCGGCCCCACCGCCCGCTGGCGCGCCCGCCGCGGAGGGTGCCGGCGTCCGGGGTCCGAGCGCCGTCGGCTCCGCCGTCGCCCGCACCTGCGTCAGGTGTCCCGTCCTGGCGTGAGCTTCCCGCTGGCCCTCCAGAAAGGCTGCTGCCGCGCCTCCCGCAGCGCGAGCCAAGCGCCCAGGTGAAGAAGGCTGGGCTGCCTCGGTCGGCCGGGTTCCCAGGCCGGGCACCGCCACCCCCTCCTCGGGTTCCTCGTAGGAACGCAGCGGACGGCGGGCGCTCGGTCATTCCTTCGTTATTTCAGACGCCGTGAGCCCCCCACCGCCCAAAAAAACCCCCACATTCTCTCCACTTGAGATACCTGAAAGTTTGTTTTGCTTTTTTGGAAGTAGCGTTGTAGGACCGCACTTCCCTGTAAGATGAGCTTGAATCCATGGGTCTGGGGGCGCAGGACGTTTCCAAAGAGTTGCCCTTAAGAGGAGGTTGTGTGTGGATTGATTTTTACCGCCGGCAGTCCTCGGCGCGATTTATTCGTGCAGAGTGGAAAGTGATGGAGTTGGCTTCCTCCTCTTTTTCTCCTGCTCCCTCATCTCTCTTAACCATGAGTTGGTGTCTCAGTTTCAGACTGTAGGAAATGGTGTTATTTTAAGATAAATGAAGCTCACATTGGACTTTAGATGAATTTCGTGTGAAAATGACCAGCCAGTGAGTTCAGAGGGGTCATTCTCTTTTAGAGGAGGAAAGGCCTTGGAGTTTCCAAGTCAGGAGACACGTGTGGGGTAGGTGGCACGCAAGGCAAAGGAACAGGCCGGAGAGCAGGAGTGGCTGCGGCCCAGTGCTGCTGTGGGCGCTGCCTAGGATGACGAACAGCGACCGCGGCGGGATGTAGTAGGGACAGACCTCGGGAACTTAAAATTCTGTCGATACGCGGGGCTGTGTGGCACAATAGTGTTTTGGAAAGTCAAAAGAACCTGCATGGTGCAGCTTTTTGCTAAAAGGACACGTGGGGCTGGTGGTGTAGAAAACAGGAAGTCTGAGTAGCCAAGGTGGGAAAAGCCCAGAATGGACGTGTGGTTGGGGAATGCAGGGCTCCCAAGCGTCATCTTGCGTCTTTTACACTACCTTAAATGCTGCTGGAAAGCAGGTAAAAACAGAGAGTAGGTACATTGCTGAATCAGCAGGCATATCAGGGCTGAAATTCACAGGATTTGATGGTGCTGACTTCATACATATTTGGTTATGGAGCACTTGACTAACATCAAATGTGCTTGTGAAGTCCTTGTGAAATGCACAATTTTCACGTAGTAAATTAATTAACAAATACAGTTTCCTCCCTACTGAAGAACAGGATAGAATTTTTTTTTAATGGGATATGGGATAAAAGGTTGATTGGCTAGAGACTGTTTTCTTGGATTTTTCTTCTATGTGATTTAAACTGATGAACTATGGTGTTCATCTCATTGAGTAAGGGAGTTATATTTTCTCCACAATTTTTCACTTGTTCATTCCAAATTTGTATGTGTGCTCATATCTCACGCACACATACATACACACATACATCTATGTACACGCACACGCACACGCACACACATGGCTGCATTGCTTAGAAAATTTGTGGGAGGTTTCACACAAAATTTGGCAGTGATCAAATCCAAGAAAAGCACCAGGAGTCTGTGTCTTGAGGGAGGTTTTTTTAATACCTTTTATTATAATGCCCATATGTGATTTTCATAATAAAACAAATGATGAGTTACACTGTCTAAGTGTGCCTGCTACTCTGCTATACAGCATAAGCTGTGGATAAGAAAATTGAGATTTCTGTATTAGTATTAGTATTTCTGTATTAGTAATACTTTGATTTTTTACTGTGCATACTTAGGTTCTTGGAGTTCTGAAATTTGGGCTGGTATTTTACTTTAAATGAAGTATATTTGTGCACATTTTCCTAGTGTGTCATTGACAGTTATGACTCATAGTGGGTGGAAGCCCAGGAAAGCATGAATCCACGTGCACAGGTCCTAAAGCCACTGTAAGATTGTTTACTGACACTATTCATTTTCTTACTAAAGTAAAACTTTATTCTGGAATGGGAAATTAGATAAAGATATTAATACTTTAAGAAAAATATATGTACTCTTTGAAATTAAGATGATTAGGATATGAAAAATGGCTCTCACTTAACATGTGATGTATATTTTATAAGACTTTGATATATCAGCTTTAATGTAAATTGCATTGTTATTCTTCACTTTTTTTTTCCTTATTAAACAGGAAAAGGGCTTGGTAGATTTGGGTTGGTGGATGGAGGATTAGCCTTTTTGTTGTTCGCTGTCTACCAGGTGTTAATTGAGCCCTATAAAATTAGACTGTGGGTGAAGAATATTCCTGAAGAGGTTCTATGAGATGAATAAGGGCATTTTTCCACTGCTATTTTTATTTATTGAAAAATTAGAACTTGTCAGGATGCATGTGCCCTTTTCCTGTGTTTACTATTGCCAATAAATGCTGATTGGCTGCAAATAAACAAGACACCCAAACCTTCATTTACAGTATTTATTACTCAACTGTTCTGACAATTGGTCTTTTATTACTCTAACACTTTGATTGATTGAAATTTAAAGCACAGTCAGCTTCTCTGTTCGGCTGTTCTATACCATTGTGTACAGATCTTTTGTGGGGAGTGGAGAGCTTTCTTCTTCCCACAGTTCTTCAGGGAAGTTTTATGTAAGAATATAATTTGTATTTAAGCTATTTTCTTATATATGTTATAATCTCTTTCTGGGGAGAAAATAACTATAGCCAAAATTTTAATACACATAGGCTGGAAACCAGATGAACAAGAGAAAAAGACTATGCTTCAGTCTCTTGTAAAGGAAGAGAAAATATTTGCTTTTACTCTCAGTGGTAATTATTGACTTACACTCCAGTGAAATTTTGTGAAGATTTGTAACAGAAAATAGTTGGCGTAGCTAAATCAGGAGCCATAGTTCAGCTATTTTAAACTGTGGTTGCAACTTTAGCACTTCGATCCTAGAGCTCTGAGAGTTAGAATCCTCGTGGCTGTAACGGGGATGTGCGATGCCTCGGGCCTCTTGTTTATCCCACACTGCTGTGCAGTTCAAAGAGGGCAAGGATTGTGAGCTTTGCGTTGCTCTGTGTTATGTGGTCTGAATGTTTCATTAAGTTAGAATACCCCAATATTGCTAGCCATACAGTAGTAAATACCTGCTTTTTAAACTAAAAACATTTAAATTTAGGACATATGCGGCCATCGGCTTGTGTGCTCTAGTTTTAGTAATACTTATTTTAGGTTACTATTAGCCTTACTTTACATTTCAGGGTGGGCGAATAATACAGAGCTAAGACTGAACTATAAATAGTTTAATACACACAGTGAAAATACATGTAACATGTTGATATTAATGTGTGTCATACTAAATATATATATTTATAAAATACAAATCTTAATCCAGTGAAGAAACTATTAATAAAAACTGGTCAGTAATTCAGTGTTCCTGTTAGGCTTAGTGAACCTTTTATCTTTTCTCTAGGTTTTCATGATTTTCTACATTGGTTACAACATTTGACCTTGAATAATATCACAGACATAGTGAATGTACCAAAAAACCCATGAAATTGTGTACTTTAAATGAGTGAATTGTTTGATGTGTGGGTTGTATCGCAGCAGTGTTAAAACATTATATTGAATTTCTTTTAAAAATGAATGAAAAAGGTGATCAGTTACAGTACAAAGTAAGCTGTACACATCTCCTTGCTTAAGGACTTTAAGCTAAAGTTACAACTTTTAAAAGTTTTCAACTTAAATCTGGAGACATTTACATTTTAAAGAAAATTTAATGAAAGGAGTGGGCTTATAAATGAAAAAAATAACTAGGTAAATATTTTTACCCTTAATGTTACTCTAAATATTGATACTTTATTGGCTAAATAAACAAATTTTAATTGACTAACAATGGAAATCATGTTTCAAAGATATAAACAGAGAAAATGTGGGGTTTCTCTGTGTGTTATTCTGAACTTTAACTTTGATTCAAGGTATCGATACATAATTTGTTTACATTACAGTGCTGCCTCTGATGAATTTTCCAGCTCCACTTAAAGATTGGAGGACCCAGTATGCACAGGAGTGTAGACCGTTCCTGCCTTGAATAGCATGGGCTTGAACTGTGCAGGTCTCCTTACACGCAAGTGTTTTATAATAAATATATGCAAAAATTTTTTGAAATTTGTGACAACTTGAAAAAACACTTTCTTGAGCTTACTTTATTATAAGATTGCAATACATAATACATGTAACATACAAAATATGTGTTAACTGTGTTATCAGTAAGGATTGTGGTCAACAGTAGGATATCAGTAGTTGTGTTTTTTTGGAGTCAAAAGTTATACATGGATTTTCGATGGTAGGGGAGGTTGGTGCCCCAACCCTTGCATTGTTCAAGGTCTGAAGTACTTGTCTTTCAGGTGTCTATGTGGGAGAGTGTGATGGCCCCAGAGTGCGGAGGTGAGTCAGAAGAGAGGATAGGAGGTAGTCAGTGGTGAGGGGTGCATATAGACATACTTCTGGACACTGAAGAATAGAAGAACATGACATTATCCTCCAGAGCAGCAACGCAGAAGTGCAGGAGAGGGAAACTGGGCATATCCCAGAGCCCAGCAGGGCAGCAATGTGGATTTCTGGGTGGTTTTGTCACCGTGCTGAAGGTGCTTGAGGGTTGAACTGAGGCTCCTGACTTACTCTGGGCCCAGGGGTGAAGAGATGTGCTCTCTCTGGGGCCCAGGTGTCATCGCAGCTCTCTCAACCCACAGGGAAGTTGTACTGGTCATGAATGCAAACACGACTCTTGAGATGAGAGTGTTACACGTGAAGGGGAGAGAGAGAGTGTGTGTTCAGAACTAAGCTTATGAAAGCAGAAAATGGAAACGTGTGCAATTCCTTA